ATCTTTTTATTTAATGACAAAATCGATCAAAACAAAATGATATCATACTGTACATAATCTCAACATATAATCTTTGTATCCATATTTATAAGGTCACAAATAAAAAAAACAACAATAATAACTTAACAGAATAGGACTTTTTAATAAAGAATTGTGGTTTTTTTTATTTTATTTCAATGATAATAAATAGAAAATTAATGTAAACTTCAGCTCATTAGATTTGATTATATAATAATACATGTTTTGTTACTCTTCCTTGAAAAGAAAATATTCTCGAGTATTTAACCAGACTGGCCAGATGTTTAAATGATTACATAAAAAACTCATCAACACATCCTAATATAGATTTTCCTTTTTTACAAAAAAACATAATAACGATCATTTGATTCCTACCTGCAAATAGTACAGGAGAATTATTCGTACAATGAATGCATATATTTGTTATCTAAAAAAAAGACATAATAGAAATTCTAATTTATTTTTCTCAAAAAAATGATGTTATATTCTACATATACCAATATTGTTCTTTTAATTGTAGATATATGTCACTCTGATTAAATAGCATTAACTATCGAATATTATCTATCATCAAAATATCACATAGTAACAGAATGATAATCTGAGAGATTATATGCATAATGATGGTAGAAAAAAAACAACATAAACTGATAGATACGGCCTTGTTTAACGACCAGCGAGATTCAGATTCATAAAAACTTAGATCAGTAGCTCCTTACTGGTTTGATCTCGTTTATATAAGTATAACTAAAATTATTTCATAAAACTGAAGATTTTGGTGTGATGATTTTTGTTTATCAATTAAATGTTCAAATTTCTTTTGTTTTTTGTTAACATAATGCTCTTTTCAACTAGATAAAAAATTTTAATTTATTAAGCAAAGACTAATGAAAAAGTGAACAACAAGAAATAAATTTATGGTGGCTTTTATTTTCTGAAAATAGCTGATAAATAGCTTAAGCTTTGATTCTTTACTTGTTCATGTATGTAGAGAGTGGTAGATATTGATGGAAAAAACTACGGTCTTGGTCTACAAAAAATGTGGCCTTGCAGCTCCCGAATTTATTGATTTTTTTTTCGCTCGTCTACAACGATGGTCTAATATACTGAATGATATGAGAGTAGATTCTTTACAAATCATGAGAGAAGTTCTTCCAATGATAAATTAGTTTTATATTGGGACAATAATCAATTGATAGAAGAAAACAAGTTTCAAGATCTTTTGATAACGACTCTTTAAGATATGAATCTTTGAAAATATAGACACATTGCTATGGTTATTATTTAAAAAACGAATATTTTGAAAAACTCATAACTTGAAAAGAATTTGTTGAAGAGTTGTAAAATTAATTCTACAAGCTAGTCTGATCGGAATCTGTATGAAGACAAAACCTCAGATCTAAATTCAAAAACATGACTTTGCTGAGAAACTCAATTCAATGTAGTTTCAACTGAAAAACGATTTATTACTTAGAGATCTTTCCTCGTTAACTATCGATTTGTTCTTGAGTTGTGCTTGATGCTATTAGTTATGAACTATGATGTATTTTTCTGAAAGAACCTATTATACGCTTCTATACATAGACGATGGTTTATAATTAGAACTAGGATAAAAAAATACAATAGCTCATTTTCGATTTATATCAAATTGGCATATTTTTTGGTCAGTTGTAGCTTAAAGGAAGTTTTCAAAGAAGGAACACTGGTTCGTATAAGGAAGTTGATGCCAAGAGAACTACAACTGTGCATATTACTTATAGAAACAGGAAATTCAGCATTTAAAATGACTAGTTTTAAAAACTTGCTCCACATGAGTCAGTATAATTCGTTTTGATTGCTCATTCTTATTCTCTTAGATAACAACTGAAAATTATCTATGAAGCGCTTTGTATACATTTTTCTTACCTGACAATAGGTCACATTTTTCTTTTTACTGAAGCCAAAAAGATAACTTGACAATAGTATTTGTTTACGTTATCCATATATCAGCTGTTACCACTAATAAAAGAATCAGCCCGGGTATGGGTGAATTACAGCGAAGATATTTCATTTTTTTTCCGTAGTACTGTTGATGGCTTACTCTTTGTATATAAATCGATCGAATATTTATCTTTATATAGTTGCAAACACATCTGTCATGACTTATGTTTGTCGATATTGTTCTTTTGAATTTTTAAAAAGTAAATGTCTTCACCTCTTGATTCGTCAAATAAGATATGTTTCTTTATAAAGTATTCCTTTTTTTCTCAAAATCTAGAAGTGTTCTTCAGTAAAAACTTGGATCCACTAGGTGATTCCTTTCAAAAGACGAAGTAAAAGACAGGTTAGAAGAACTTTTATGCTAATCGATTTTTTTGTAATTATTTATGAAGCTTATTAATGTGTTTTGTGTACATGTTCATATCTATATTTAATATAGAAAATGATGATTAAGTATAATGCGTTTTTTTAATTAAACATGTTTCTCGGGACCATTTTAATGTTCTTTTGTAACGTACTCTGGATAAATGTTTTTTGAATATTCTTTATGAAAATTTTGTTGTCATGGTCACTAGACATAATTAAATATACTACGCTTTGAAATAAGTCATTCTCGACATTAAATGAGCAGAGTTTTAATTGGAAAATACGCATCTTTCGGATGTGTGTTGATTCAGTTTCTATGAAAGATGGTTTCTATTCCTATAAATTAATTTTTTGCAAAAAGATGGCATGATATGTTTTGGAAATGGACACAAAAGAAACTTAACTAACCTAATAGTACATTTAGCATGAAACGAATTCCATCTAAAACAGTTCAACTGCAACATAAGCAGCAAACTTAAATAAAACTGATTAAAAAAAAAGAATTTTCATTTTCTTTCTTTGAATTGTATAACCATACAGAACAGAAATATTATGGATGATTGATCTGATTCTTATGCAAAAAATTCATATTGAACTTTTAACGTCTGATTGACTATTTTGTTCTAAAAACACTCTTTTTACCAATAGTTTTTTTCTTTTCTATGCACTAAAATGTTATCTGTTAATTTGTTCATTGCACGAGCGTATGAAAAATAAAACAAATTTGTTACCTAATGATATATTGGACAAATAGCATTGATTGAAATTACAAGTTGTGGTTCAGAATACTAAGAAAGTAATCTTTTTTCAAGGACACCAGTCAAGAAAGTTGTGTAGATCGTGAATAATAAAGCAGAATAAAAAAGCCCTGGGTTTTATAATATGTTGAGTGCTGGATCATATTTGTCTTCTAGTAAGTATGTTAAGAGAAAAAATTATTTTTATTTTCCTTATACATTAAAAAAAAAGATCTCAGTCAAAGAAAAGAAAAACTATGATGAGACATTAAAGAGCAATATAAAGATCGTAATGCTTTGAAATTCTAAATACAAACAGAATAATTATGTCAAAAAGAGAGACTCATTGTCATGAAAAGAAATATTATTACTGAGGATACACACAAATAATAATTTTGCGTCGTTTAAGATAAGTAGTTGTGTTCATGTAAAGTGGTTCTTTTTTTTTTCTTTGGGTGTATATAAGCAGAGTAAGATGCTCAGTCTAATTAAAATATCCACTCGAATATGTAGAACGAAAAAGTTCTTATTACTCTTTGTAACCATCGCTCAACATATAGGAATTTAAGTGTAGATAGTGCAATGAAGAAACAAAATTTAGCATAGTTTTTAGTAGTTAGCCAATTTTTTCCTTATTCAGCGATCATTGAAAGATGTTTTATACACTGTTCAGGTTCGCATATGAAAATATTAATAAATTAATAAAATTTCGTTTTTTTTTGGCAACTATATACTATACCGTGAGAAAGTGTATTAGAAATAAAACAAAATGATGTAAACTTAATTATATTTTCAGTTTTAACAGATTATGGATTTCATTACTTATTTAAAAAAGTCAAATACGAAGCGAAACATTAAATTTGAGAAAACTAGTAGGTTCTTATATGCAGGACTTGTCCTTTCAAACGATGTATCGTCGCCCTTAGTACAATATTCTTTGCAAATGTTATAATGCTTTCTAATTATGAATTGAGAGACTACAAATAAATGACTAGAAATTATGACATAAATTACTACTTGAAACTTAGGATGCTATGACAGTTGTAAAAAAAACATTGCTTAAAAAGTAGTAATGTATCATTTGAAAGAAAAAGTTATACATTTGAAAACATGCTACTTTTTTTTTCAGATTTAACATTTCATTTCGTAGTGCTAAACTTTTTCTCGATGGATAAAATGTTTTTGTGTAGTAAAAACTAGAATTTTCAATAAGTTGTTATTGAGAAAGAGTGTAAAAACATTTAAAAGGGTGCTACACTTTTTTTTCTTTCACGAGACCTATTTTTTTTTTTATTAACGTTGAGAAGAACTTCTAAAAGCATGGAAGAAAGTAAGAACTGTGTGTGAAACAATAGTTCATCGATTCTTATTTACAACAAATTACATATGACTTTTTCAATTAGCAAGTTTTAAAATGATGAATAAATTTTGATTCTTAATTTAAGATCAATCCACTGGATGCCATTTCAATAACTCAACAATGACAGCAGATAATGATCTATAGTTTTGAGTAATCAAAAAGAGTAGAATTCCATACGTCTATTTGTCTGATATTATAAGATAAAATTATTTTTAATTCTTTTGGCGCATACATTAGTGGAGTAATCAAACTTGGTCTAGATCAAGCAATGTCCTACCACCACAAGAAAGAAAAACTTAATAATTGTCATCATTGAAACTATGTTTAATAGATTTCTCTCGACATTGTAGGACACTGCTCTACCATTGATGATCTTCTGATTTTGGCTTTAGATCAAATTGATGTCAAAGATTCTTTCTCATACATCATCGTTTATTTTTATTGTTCTAATATTCAATTCTTATATATATATATATATAGAAATTTAAAAAAAAGGAATTAATCAATATTATTGTAAAATAAATGATTGCTAATAGTAACTACTGGACTTTTGCCCATTTAGGTTGAATACTTCTAGCATGATAATGTGTTGAACCTTGTTGTGTATTATCAGCTCGTGTTTCATTTAATACTTGTTCTACAACTTGGAGAATATTGTTATATAATTCACTATTCGTAGATAAATTCAAAAGTTTGTTTCGATTAACATTATTGAAGTTCCAACATGAAAATTGATAAGATTTCAGGCATACGTCTTTAATAGTTGTACCCATATAAGTACGTCCTTTAGCAACTCGGTTTCGAACCTATCCAAGCAACAGCTACTTGACCATCTATAGATTCTTCTCGTGCTTCACCATCGATAGTACGTATTAGTACATCCACTTCATCTAATGTTTGCGGAACGAGTATGACTACAAAATAAAAATAAATGAAAAAGATGACAGAAATATATAGTGTAGGTTTGTTTTCTTCATACCTAAAAAAAGAAAGATTTACCAACAACTGATAAAAAACAATAATATTATGATTGTTTTTTTCCAACTTTAGTCAAATACACTAATTCAAAGGCCATTAAATCATTGGTATAATTTCTTTATAATTCAAGATCTGTATTTATTTTCTTTATTATTGAAGAAAAAAAAACATCCTGTATACAAAAAATAAACAAAGGATTACTGATCAATAGAAGATTGTTTTGTTTTCCATAAACGATATTGAGCCATTTGTGTAGGAAATTGTGAACTTAATTCAACAGCTAATGTATCAGCAAATTTAGCAAGTGTTTCATTTTTTCCATTTATTTCTTCATTTCGTTCAAGTGTACGTTGTAAACAATCACGTGTAAACAGTTGAGGATTTTTAAGATCATCAACATAACTAAATAAATAAATGAAAAGATAAAAAAATTAAGAATTATTTCTTTTTTACTTTAATAATTGTCCAGGAATATGTATATCTTGAAATTGATCTTTCATTTGATCAACATCTTTTAATAGACCAATAATTTCATTAAGTACTTGATCAACACGAGGTTGAGATTGTGCTTGAAAATCAGTAACAGTTACATATAAATTCCATGTTTTATCAATTAAATACTCTAATTCAGTTGATAATTTTGTCAAAGAATCACTCATATTGATTTCTCAATCTTAAACTATCAAATGAGTAATTTTGTTTTTACTTTCTTTCATTCTCGTTCATACTCTCTAAATGATTATGGTCGAATCTATTAACCAATCAGATTTAACAAAAGAAAGAGTGCGTGCAATGCTTATACACCATCGTTTTAAAAACAAACAGATGAAATTCTAGATAATTGTACATTCGTTGTCAGTCTCAAGTATGACTTGAAAGAGAAAAATATGTAAAAAAATTGAAACCTGTCTTCAAGAGTGGCTTGAGGTTACTAAGATGAATGATCAACTCTAGTCATTTGAATACAAACAAAAAAAAACAGGCACAAGCATCTCATATTTTTAAAACGGCTATCCTATTTTAATGAAAAAATCTTATTGAGTGTATCCATATATGGATCGATCATATCCGAAAATTTTGAACGCGGCGATCTCTCTAAAGTCGATCTTTGCTGTGAGGGTTGGTGAACAAAAAGAAACGAAGAAAATTGTTTAATTTCACTGAATAAAAACAAAAACTTTCCAAGATTGGGAAGTCATCCCTATCTGTTTTCTTTTTCAATTTCTTTTTGCAATAGATTTCTAGCCGTTTAAAATGGCTGAAATAGTTTTATTGCAAGTATCATTCATCTTAATTATTAATACACAAAATTTGTTATCGGTATAGTATCTATAGTTATTTTAGCACATTTGATATTTCTGTTTATTTAAAATAATATTTTCAGTCGTTGATAGAAAAACTAACTAAAACATAAAGAAATCAATATTAGTACCTTGTGATAAAAGTTTATTTTTGAAATACTTTAACACGATGAATAAAATTGAAATCTTGCCTTATTAGTCAATATTTCAATTGACTTCATTAAATCACGGTAGTTTTGGCTGTTGCCATGAAAGCCAAGAAGAATTGAAAAATGATTTGAATAAAACGTTTTGGCATATCAAAAAATGATGACCAGTTTTTAGTTTCTATAATTCACAAATAGAATTCTCTTTGAATTATCTATAATAAATGAGTAAATACTTCTCTATGTAATTAAATGTCTTCGAGCTCTCTAAAATGTTTTTTTTTGATTGAGATTCGTCAACGTGAGGGAAGACACCAAAGTTATGTTTTTTTCTTTCATTCAGTGTGGAAATATTCATTTTGTGCTTTCCGTAAGGTTGATGTATCCCAGTGAAAAAAAACATAGGAGAGAGCTGAAAGATGTTTCATTTTCAAGAGAAATATTTACTCTGTAATCCGAGGTAATTTAAACAGAATTTTAATTGCAAATTCTACAAAGTGAAAAGCATGAGTTTGAGGGTTTTTAGACACTCTTTTTCAGAGAAATCGAAATCATTTTTATCTTCAGAAACTTCTGTTAAAATTATAATATGGTTAACAAACCTATGCTTATCAATATTTCTTAATAATGATCATCTGATTAATCAAATATATGATTTTCTCTATTGCTCTTCTCATTCTTTATCATTTTGTATCACATATAAATATGTGCAACATTGTACAGTTTATTGAATATTTCATTTATTTCAAATTAAAAACAAACTTTTTCACAAAAAAGTTGTGACTCTAAAACAAAAGCAAATATTAGTTTATAGAAAAGAAAAACATGTATATATGATGATGATGATTGTTGTTAACGTTCCCAAGCGAATTTTGAACAATCACAGCCAGCAGGTTTATTGCATTTTCTAAGAAAGAATCCTAGTATACGACATTTCCACCAGAGAGTACATTTAGCAGTACATTGCCAATTTATTTCACCTTTGGCAGCTTTTATATAGTTACCATTGTTATCATCAGTTGCATTCGCGTGAAGACTGACGATAAGTATTAAAACAACTAAATCAAATATTTGTATCTTTACCATATCGATTGATTGAACAGATATGAAAGAATTTGACAACGTTCGAAATGAAGATTACGAATTATTCATAAATTTACTGTTAAACTGCAGCTGCTTTTATAGGGCGTAGAACCCATTGTATTCTGAAGAATTGAAAAGAAATAATAAATTACCTATTACTAATGTTATAGTTCGAACTACATTCAAAATAACCAGGTTTTATGATTGGAAGCAATAATGTTCTATATGAAACTCATTACAAACAAAAGATAGATTATTTTATACGTCATTTTAACAATATATACAGGTATAATTACTATTTCATATGACATATCGTCGTTGCAAAAAGTGAATCGCAGTTATTTTTATACATTTATCCGACATTTTATATGATGGATTGTATATTCAAGGCTCTCGATTGTTTTTGAGAGTGGGGGGAAGGGGGAGGCTACAGTTCTTTTTCTTTTGTCAGATACTTCACAAAAATTTGGCAGACAGTCACTTATTTTTTTAGAAACTTTCCGATTTTTCATTAAAAGTGATGACCGGAGGGGGGCAGGGGTAGCGCGACGAAGATACCCCTACCCCCATCCAGTGCTACGTAAAATCTTCGGAAAAATTGTCTCAAAACAAAAATTTTTCACCGCTAATATTATCACGTGATCAGTCGACTGCAGCCGTAAAATTAAATTTCGCAGACTATATTACACATTTTTGTCAGACAGTATTAAAAATTTTCCCAGGCACACTGCAAAAATGGGGGGGCTAGCCCACCCCATCCCCCCACATCGAGCGCGCTGTGTATATTAAATACAAAGTTGATGTTGAAATAGAATCTTTCGTAAAATTTTTGTTGGATTAACATTGTATATGTATTTACATCATTTATTGTATTCTGTCTGTCATAGTCAATTATAAATCAAAGATTAAAATGAACAAATTTCACCTTTCATTATGTTCTGTTTCCTACTTCGATAAAATTGTTTATAAATGCAGATATGTTACCAGATTTTAAATCATCAGTAAATATTAACATTTGACAAACGAAAATAATTATTAATATGCTGTTTAATCCTCGCCTGATATCAAAGATTTACATTAAAACAGATGTTTAAGTCATTGTAATGCACGCTGTAGGTAGTATAGTGTAGTTAGAAAAATGTAATCAAAGTACGATTAGTGATAAAACTGGATGTTGTACAATAAGCATTTTGTTACAATGTGAAAATACGTTGATTAATACATCAGTAACTGTTGATAATAATAATTATGTAAAGAAAATGTTCCACCAATAAAGTATGGTTCAAAAAAGAGATAACATTATGCAAGGGTGTGAGTGGTGGGTGTGGGTGTGGGGTGTGGGATGTGGGTGTGGGTGTGGATATGGGTGAAGGGAAGAAATATATATACACCTACACCAACTAACACCCGTCCACACCCACCCACACCCAGACCCACACCCACATCCACACCCACACCCACACTGCGGGGCATCTTTTAGTTAAAAAACCGCTAGGGAATTCTATAAGATTAGATCTAGAAAAATGAGAAATAAAATTGGCTCTTTTTCTCTGGACCCCTCAAAATTGATTTCCCACTTGGGATCATCCATTTGGGGTGAAGTTTTCAGGGATGAGTTCTCCTGAGAAGATACATCTCTGGTAAAATTTTCAACCCTATAGATGGTACTAGGCTGGAGATCCAGCTCATTCATGACCCATTTTTGGAATTGATATAACTCCGTTGCAGTACGTGCCAGAGAGCTCAGGTTGGTTTCAAATTAAAGCTAAGATCACTACGTAACTTTTATCCGGATAGAATTTTGAAATGCTGTCCTATTCATTTTTTATAAGCATTTTTGGTGACGTGCTGTACAGATCAGCATAAAAAATGGTGATCCACCCACAGTAAATTCCACTTTTCTTGGCCCAGGAATGGACTTTAAAAAAGCCGTCTAGTCAGAAGTTTACACTCGTTGAGACCTTTAAAACAAAAAGAAATATTGGATATAGCCTGAGGCTGGAGGGAGGAGTTTCAATTTTTCTGATTGGAAAGCATGTTCTGAGAAAAACGATAAACAAAGGCGACGACGAGAAATTGATCCAAGAATGGAACATATGTACAGTTGTAGAGGAAGACATCCTCTATCCACTAGTATACTTATTATGCAATTCTATTGTGCACTGTGCAAGAAAAATAGACTAAAATGTATAAATTTCATAGTTTTTAGGGAGTTTTTCTCTACCAAAATCAAAAAATAGTATAAGACCGAGCTAAAACGTACTGTAATTATGTGTGTATCATTCCACGATCCACACTCTTTACTTTCACAGTTTGTATTACTCTTTTTGATACTGAAGTTATGTTGTAACTTGTAATAATTTAGAAAATAAATTCTATACATTTTTGATAATGTTAGAAGTAATAGTATTTATAACTTCGCAATTGCTAATTTGAAATATATTTCAATTAATAAGCTTAATATAAATTCGCACAGAATTATTCTACATATCATTTTTTTAGAAAGAAAAAGTCTCTTAACTTTACTATTACTCCTAACATTATCAAAATGTATAGAATTTATCTTTTAAATTATTACAAGTTACAACATAACTTCAGTATCAAGAAGAGTGGAATGATACACACATAATTGCAGTACGTTTTAGCTTGATCTTATACTATTTTTTGATTTGGTAGAGAAAAACCCTCTGAAAATTATGAAATTTATATATTTTAGTCTATTTTGCTTGCACGGTGCACAATAGAATTTCATAATAAGTATACTAGTGGATAGAGGACGTCTTCCTCTCCAACTCTCTATATGTTCCATTCTTGGGTCAAAAATTACTGTAAAACTTGTCGTCGCCTTTAGAACTGGATTTTTTTATTCAAATTCGAAAAAACATATATTTTCAGAGTTTTGTCCATTTTGAAAAGAAAAGGTGCATATATAAAATCAGCTGTTCTTTATAAATTGTAGAGCCTTTCACGTTACATCTTGTAGTATATTTTGTTCTTTTAATACAATGTATTAAAATGGAAAAGCAATGTCTTTCAAAAACTGAAAAACTTCCGAAAATCTCGAAAATCATTGTAGTAGGGCTTCAATCTCCTTTGATAAGTTTATTAAAACCTGGCCTTTTTGGAAAA